CAAGGCCGACTGCGAGACGGAGGAGGAGGCGAATGGAGAGGGACAGAAAGAGAGAGAATAGACGGGTAGAGACCACAGCCATGCACACTATCAAGCGGTCAGAGTTCACCGATTTGATTAGCACCTGTGAGAAAGCGAGGTGAAAAGAGTGAGCTGGAAAGACTGCAGCATCACCAAGGAACAAAGCAGGGGAGGAAACATTCTCTTGCAAAGGGAAAGTTGTGGATGTCAAAGTTTTCCTTTTTCACAAACTATAAGAATTAAGTGATGCAAGTGAATATGTGGCAATAGTTGTTTAAAAGTTGTACCAGTCCAACATTTTAAACAATTGACGTATTATAAGAACATGCCATGCACATCCTGTTGCTTATGTGCCGACTGCAATTTCCAAAAGGTTTTTGCTCTTATGTCAGCACAATGCAGAGTTATTGAATAAAATGAGACAGACGGCAGTGCCGATGTATTGTTTGTCCTCTGTTCTTCATTGGTAGCCTGTTACGGTATCCTTGCCGACATGTTTATTTTGAGTGGTGGAAAAAGCTTGAAATGAGTTTTATATCACAGGCATCACACTCAATTTGTACATTTTTGAGTTGTGCTAGGGGAGAATACTTATTTAGAATGTGTTTAGCTATACCGAATACTTGCTTTAAAAAGTGTTATCTGTTAAATGGGCCAATCATTAGCATTACTGTATTATATTTGGGCTACTGAGATAATTACAAAATGATTGGATTTTCTATGTAATATCTTGTTAAAGTTGCACAATGTAATATCAACATGTATTACTTCAGTAATACATGTACTTCAGTTAAATACTTCAGTTCATGTATTTTTCTCAATACCAAAATAAAAGATAATGCACTTAGTCTTGCCATCTTTGCTTAGGTAAGATTCTTTTATAGACGATATCTCATAGGCATCTAGTAAAGTTTCAAGTTTAGTGTATGAAAATGGATAGGGGACAGAGGGTGTTTGGAGTTTGAGCATAGTGTGGAGCGGGGTTGGTGGGGGGCTCACATTCAGAGGGGACAAAGGTGTGATGCTGCGTCTGCGTGGGTGGCGCTGTAATCTGTCTGTGTCACTGGAATGATGAAGGGGCCAAAAGGGAGACACGTGCAGTTCACCTTCTGGCCTCCGGAGGAAACACACTGACCCTGGCCCTCTGCACTTCCCACTCCCCCTCCACCTCCCGCCTGTCCCATCTCACCTCTACCCCCGGCCCCACCCCCACACCCTTTTACGATTTATGAGGCGCGGGTTTGCCCAGGGTTGCTCTACCGTTTGCGAGTACCATCCATGCGTGTGTGTGTCTGGCTTGAATGTAATCAGGTGTGGAGTGTCAAGGAGGACGAGACCAGCTGCCTTGGGAAAAGTACAACGGACGCAGCTCTTCAGTAGATGAATGCCTGCATAAGTCTCTGTGAAAGCCAGTCCGACACGGTTCACATTCAGAGAAAACATTGTGCACATGTTGCATATGTTAGTTTTGTTCTTATAATAGTCTGGTTTCTATCACTGACTGCTTCTGCATTGCCCATATTTTATTCAGGCAGCATAAACCCTTCAATGCACAAATAGAAAAGAGAATAATCATTTATGTCAAATATCTCCTCGTCACAGTACAAGTGCATGTCATATTGGCCAATATGCTCTTATTAATTAAATGCAAGTACCATATGTGAACATTAAAAACGAAGCAATAACAATTACATGGAGGTGAGCATATGGCTGATCCTCCTACAGAAAAGTTAGTCTGAGTATTGATAAAAGGACTGAAGTATTTAGTATCACAAACCTGCACAAGATACAGGGAAGTGTGTATACGGTGGGAGGTGATAACGGATGTCATTTTTGTAAGTGGGTGCAACGGACCATTCACTTTAAAACTGGTTTGCCAATCCGGTCAAGTTACTTAGGGCTCTCATTGCTTTTTGAGAAATAAAATATGTTTTCATGAGATGCAGATGTGCTGAATCGCTGTTTAAACAAACTCCAAAGGCTGCAGAGCAATTCACCAAATTAGAGACTTTTTGTCCCTTTTCATTAACCTAATGTTTTAAATTTAAGCTTGTTGAATTATTGACATGCAGCTAAATCTAAACTATATGAGCTTCTTTTGTCACTATGAGTCATGCGCGTGGCTAAAAGCATCCATGAATAAATGTGACTGTATTTCATCATAAACCATAAACAAAATGTATTTTAAATAGCAGACGGCGGTAAATGCATTGAAGGCTGACAGGCAGAAATGCTGAATTATGGCTTATTGTTGCAAATGCTAAGTGAAAGCAATCAAGGTGGATGGGAGCGCGCAGTGTATGAGAGGTGAGGGTAAAGTCATGTGGTGTTATTGGACTAGAGTGTGTGGGTATATGGAGATGAGGAGAGCACGAAGGTCGAACTGTGTCTCTTACCAGTGATTTACTCTCCACCCCGACCTTTACTACCAGGGTAACTTCACTATGTGCACTCTACGGGAGTCTTTAGAAGCTCTTCAATTAGAGTACAACAGTCAAGAATATGCTCAGGGCTGCTAACTTCTTGATTTGTGGAGGTGAATGTGTGGTCACTTCAAACCATACCAAAAGTAGTTATTTTTATGGTCAATTATAAGCGTGGCAATGGAGTGAATCCAAAACGGGATGTCTTTTGCAGTCATTCTGTAGCAAACAAGCTCACTTATTTGGCATTGAAAACCTTTACACTGAAGTTCAAGATACTCTATAAAGGCATTTTTTGTTGTTGTTTAAAGACATGCTTTGTAAAATAATCTTGGGCTCTCATCAAAAATAGACCTGGAAATGTTCTGGAGCTCCATCCATGAAAACTTCCCGCCCCTTCTGTCTAGATTTTCCTGTCACAAACCTGGTACACTATGATGAATCCTTACGCTATCTTGTCATGTTCAGAAGCTTTTATAACAAAAGTATTTTATAAAAAGGATGTATCTGTGTGGCTGTGTTTGCATCACATATGTGATGTTAAAAAGAAAGACAAATTCAATGCCTTGTCTGGAGGTATAAATGGGGGCTTAGGGTTATAAGAGAACATTTCACATTCTAAAGTAAAAAGGTAATCATTTTAAAGGGACAAAATAATGCATAGTATTTAACCTCTGACTCTTTATCTTTAATGTATTTGTTTACAATTGAATTATCAATCAGAAACATTTAGAAAAAAAAATGCATTAAAGCCATACTCTGCAATCCAAGAAATGCAATATTTGATAATATGATGAATTGTCAGATTTGAGTATATGGTGGCATATCATTCAACAGATAAGTTGGGGGACAAAATTATGTAAGATATTATACCTTCCAGTTCTTGCAAAAGTTCTCTGAAATTAACTAAATCAATTGCCTGAGTGACCAAAGTTATAATAAACAATTTAAGATCTATCAGACTTCTCTGCTGTCCAACAGAGCAGAAATGTACACACCAACATTGTATTGACTCCATTGTTCTTTTGTTTTGCTGTGCCTGTAATCACAGCCTGACTCAAAATTGAATAAACTTGAGACCAAAAAAACGAACTAAAATGTGGCTTGAGATTGGCCTCCACCCCCTGAGGAAACAATTATCAATTTTAAGTCCAACAAAATAATGATGTCACCCTCAAACAGCCTCTCTGGACAATTGCCAGGCATGTTTTCGTCTAACCAAAACAAAAATAGAACACAATTATGTCCACATTCTTGGTATGAACCAGTTGGTACGAGCACCAATAGACACACACCATCTTGTGCACCCTGGGTCGATATTCAGGTGTGTCGTCAATCCCTAAATGCAGGCACAATTTGTGGCTGAAATGTCAAAAGTTCACTGCGGCACCCTGCCAGCATTTGATGTGACAAATAACTTCTTCCTCCAGTTGCATTGTTCTAATCCCTTTAGCGGGCTCGGGAATGGAAATATAATTACATTTGGCTGGTGCAGTGCCTTTGATAAGACAGCCGCATGCTGAGCTGAATGTCTAACTGAGGTGCCTCTCCAGAACCCTCTCCACTTCACTCCTCTGCTTCTCAAACTACTTTTCCATTTCTGCTTTCTCTCTTCAAGTAAACGGCTTTTAATAATAACGCATTGGATTTTGTTTCTTTTTTCCTGGACGCTCAAAATGAATTATGTACGCTGGTGTTACATGGTTGCAATCTTTTACCACCAATTAAACTGAAGTGTTTTGCTGAAAGCCACAATGGTCTGTTATTTTGCCTCTGATGTTTTATCCATAGTATATAAGCACAAGCTTTTCACCACTATGAGATACATTTGTCTTGTTGAACTATCTGCAAATTGTAGATCTATCATAGGCCAACTTTCATCATAGACCAAGTTTCACCCTATTTTTATATTCCACTGCACTGATGTCTAGTGAAATTTAACGTATCATATTTTGTGATAGTTTTAGTTAGCAAAATATCAGTTTGTATGTGTTCATAAGAGTGGAAGAAAATGACAACTTCTAAATCGGATAAACAGAAATTTCAATATTTCAATTAGATTTTTTTTAATGTTGGTCTTAATGCCACCTAATGTGTGTTGCCTTCCACTATAAGTTTGATCTATAATTTTCATGCATGTATTGTTGACCCTGTCATATCGTAACACCAGCTGTTTCAAGTGAACAAGTGAAAAAAGAGCCCAGACCACCCTCACTCGGCCCAAAGCATCAAATAGTGACTCACCAGGCTTTCCTATGTATGCAAACACTTATTGAAGAAATTTTCAGTTCAGTTTCAAAAGACTTCCATGGAGACAAAACATATTTCAATGATTAAACAAACTACCCTAGCTTTAAATTTTAGCTTCACCGGTTTTGAAATTAGACATAATTTAATTATTTTATTTATTATTTTTTATTTCTAAACCAGGACTTGCTTAAAAAGTGGAAAAGAAATGTCGCTTAAATGTTAATACATTTCAATTATGTAAAATATCAACACCAAACAGGAAGTATTTCCACATGCACTTATCATTCCTCTCATCTCCTGTCACAGGCATTGCAGTGGACAAAAGTGGCGTGGTGTACTTTGTTGACGGCACAACAATACAGAAGATCAACGAGCGCGGCCTGTTGTCAACGGTGATCGGCTCCAGCGGCCTCATGTCCACGCAGCCGCTGAGTTGTGACGCACGCATGGACATCAGCCAGGTACGGTCTCCCATAATGCACTGCTGTTTTAAGTGAGTGCAGCTCTCTAATAGGCTTACGGGGAAATGTTTGGCTGCCGTCTGAGTGCATGTGTTCTGGGGCGATTAATATGCGTAATTAACTCAAAAGGTAAGTGGTGTCAAACAATGAGGGATTCCTTTGGCATCGATAGAGTACAATTTGTGTTGCCATTTTTACATACTGAAATACAAAAAAGGAATACGCCTTAAGATTGGTGGTAGAAAAGAGAAACCCTAGTGCAAGTTATTCATAGAGAGGGTCCAGAGCAAAGCATTAAACATTGTCGGACCATTCTCATCCTCTGGAAAAAGTATCACAAAGTCATACATTTAAGTTAAGATATTAAGAAATAATTAGCCCCCTCTGCTGTAGTCATTCAAATTGATGAAGTTGGATCAAAAGAAGATCCCATGGAAGCTGACTCAATCCATTCATCCATTTTCTTCTGCTTCATCCGTTTCTGGGTCACATTTTGAGTCCTCACATGCCTATTTTAAGTATACATATATGGTTAGTATTATGGTTTGTTTTTCATGTGTTCTCCATGTTTTGTTGTAATTATTACATAGATATTTTTAATACGACTGCAAAAAGGAGAAGCCCTCTTCCCCTTTAGTATAAAAGTAGCTCTACAACTGAAAAAGGTTGGAGACCCCTTTATACAATAATGATTTTATATACTATTATGTTGATTTTAATTGATTTAATCTTCCACTATTTTCAGTGAATAGTTGTCCTTGGAGTTCCATAATCTAATATTGGCAAAAGTAAGCATTTTCTCACTTTATGTTTGTTTACAAAGCCATACTTGCTGCCATATTTCATTTATTGATGTGCACCTGTCACATTTGTTTTGCCAATTTAGCTCCTCCAACTTCAGACTTGGAACCCTTTTTGGACATTTTTAATAGGTCCCTACGTTTTATACGATCGTGTGTGTATATCTCTGTATGCCGACTTGAAGACCAAAGACAGTTACCGCACGGATTTGATCAGCCATCCTTCAGATCATAGTGCTGACTTATATGAGGCCTATTAGAGCGGTGAATGAATTATAGATGAAGTTGCCGGCTCCATGGAGAGGATCTGTGCCCACACAGAGGATCACAGCGCCGGTGTGAGTGTGAATGTGCCTGTTCAGCCCTGTCCCAGTCCCCACGGGGCTCTAACGTGTCTTTAAGGGGGCAGAGTTACCTTGCCGAGCGTCCATTTGTTTTGCCATTGTCCTTTACGGGTCATACCATCACATTCCCCCTCAGTGTAAACTGGACTGACCCTGATCCATTGTCAGTATTGATGGAAACCTCACAGCACTCATAGCAGATGTCAATGTGGTAATGTAGGCAAAATGAACCATAGGCTTGAATTACACCAACAATATGGTGCAGCACTTCCCGAGTATTGCCTCATTGGAAATAGTAAAAAAGAGATAAGCTGAAGAAAACATTTATTCAAATCAAAAAAATAATTAAAGGCCTTGCTTTTGATGTGCTGATATAAGTGGGAATGTTCTGTGGAATGTTGGCAAATTAGAAGAAATGTTTATCTTGTAAAAATTGCACAAAAAAAACATGGATTCTTAATAGGTGTGTGATTTCAAAAAACAGATCAGACCTATTTGGGCTGGTGGCAATAGCTGTTTAACTTCAGGTCAAACAATAGATCCAGGCAAAACAAAAAAATAAGTACATGTTGAGAAGATCCAAAAGGGCGTGACAGAAGCGTTTATTCGCCATCATCAGAAATAAGCGGTAAACAAATGTCAATGTTCTAGATCCCCCTGTGTTCTTACTGTAGATCCTCCGGCATCACCAGGCAAAGCAACAACAAAAAATACATGTTTCCCCTCTCTCTTGTTCAATAAATATTACATAACTGTTATAATGCTGATAATAAAAAATATGGTCTTTGTCAGGGGGAAATAAAATCATTTAATATATACGGTTTTTATATTGAAAAAGCCTTTGTTCCAAAGGAAAAGTCAATTCAGTCATGAAGAATTCATATCTTGCATTTTAAGCAGAATGTAATGTATTTTTCAATTTATCTTTAATTATGTATTACAATATATTTTTGATTGTGGTTAAACAGGATCTGGTTCCATACTTTGAACTTTAGTGATTTAAATCAATTGTGAGCATCGATTGAACGTCAAAGAGGGTAATATTATTCAAAATGAACTGGAGAAAGAGCCCCATTTCGCAGGCCCCTCTCAGCTCCACTCTCAACCTGACCTGACCTGACTCAAAAGTGATCGCCTGCCATCTTGAGAAAAAGTTCAATATCATGAAGAGGGCTGAGGTTTGATGAGTGTCCTCTTTGGGGCCGGACAGACGCGGGTCGTGCTTGATGAATCTCTGCGCAGCTTCTAAAATGGGTTTTCTGAGGCTCCTTTCGCTCATTTGACACAAACTATAATTGGACATGTCATTGTCAATTTAACATGATCCATTTATTTACCAATCTATCCTCGCAGTCATCAATCACTTCGACCATACCTCAAATGCATCGTCTTTGAAGCATGCTGCTGCTTTGAACATAAGTCAGAGTATGTGGTACCACTGCTTCCACATACTCTGTACCATTCTTTTCATTACAAATGCAGTTAAGGTATGGCATTACCATTCCATATCTTTCAATATATTTGATATATACTAAGATTAAATTAAACATACACAATTATTCTTCATTACGTGTGACACCACCTGGATGTGAAACTCCCGTCATATCTCTGGAGCTAAGCAGGGCATGACCTGGTTAGTACTGTGATGATGCCATAGTGGGGCGGCTGTGGTTGTAAAGTGCAAGAATATCTTTGTGTCCTTAGGCAAGAGACTTCACCCACTTTGCCTTGAAGGGGTCTGGTGTGTGCATGAATGATTGGTAGTGATGGAGCTGGCCAATGGCACATGAGGGTGGCCTTGCTTCTATCACGGTGCCCCAGAGCAGCTGTGGCTACAGTAGTAGTTTATGGAGTGAAAGTATAGTGCCACGTGAAGCGTCTTTGAGTGTCTAAAAAATATGCTTTATAAAACCTCAAATCTATCTATAATTATGGAAATATTTTACAACATACAACCATTTTTTCAACTTCACAAGCTATACCTGGGTTGGTGGAAAACATAATGTAGGAATTAGAAAATACCTTTTAAGGAATTCCTTATTAGGCTCCGCAACATATATGATTGTATTTCAAATGAATATCTGTATACATATCTGCATATCAGCTTAAATATATGTATATTGTGGAATTGTCCTTTAAAACCAGCAGGATTTAAAAAAATAAAAATCTTCAAAAATATCTTTGCGGAATACGAAACCCCCATGTTGTATGAATTACTCCTGCGTCTCACCATATTATCTTTGTATTAGCTGCTTTGAAGACCGCGCTTGTATGGGAGCGGGTGTGTTCCCTTCCTTGACCCCCACAGTGTTACCGCGTGCCTGGTGTGCTATTTGAGAATCACAGTTATTGGTTGACATTTGGGAGAGTGCCGAGGTGAGCCAGCATGAGGCTTGAATAAATATGGTCTGCCCACTGCTGACCTTTGCATGAACAGGGAGGGTCAGTCGGCCTAATGCTATGTTATTAAGAAGATGTTATTTTGTATCACCGGTTGCTCACACTTGCACACGCGAGACACTGAGGCGCTCCTGTTTCTTTGTGCTGATCTTGGGAAGGGCATAAAAACACGCAAGCATTATTTTCTTTGTGTTTAATTTGTTTTGTTACTTGTGTCCAACAGGTGCGGCTGGAATGGCCAACAGACCTCGCCATCAACCCCCTGGACAATTCTCTGTACATCCTCGACAACAACATTGTTCTGCAGGTAAAAACAAGTGTTAAAAAAAAACTATGCATGGATATATTGTTGGGATATGACACAGTAAAATGAAATGACTTACATATGTTTTGTTTAGCTCGAGTGGGCTTTGGCATCTTGTCTCAGAGGTTTTTGTTCAGGGGTGAATATTCCATATAATGTGTGCCATATACACAATATAAAGGGTTTACAGAAATGACCCTTCTGTTATTGTATCACTTTTGTAATCCCTATTACACAATTTCAAGCTAAATTTTCCCATTGTTTTCTACGCATCATACTTTGGCAGAATATGCAAGTTTCTGTCTTATTACAGGTGTCAGAGAGTCTTCATGTACGCATTGTAGCTGGACGTCCCATTCACTGTCAAGTCCCAGGGATCGACCACCATCTGGTGAGCAGGGCAGCAGTCCGGGCCACGCTCGAGGCGGCGAAAGCCATTTCTATGTCCCACCTAGGAACTCTGTACATCGCAGAGACGGACGAGAGGCGCATCAACCGCATTCAGCAGGTAAATAACACATCATATAATACGCATTTGGAGAGAGATTGCAGCTATTCTTTGTATGATCAATGGCACAATTCCTTGTCAATATAAGGATGATTTTATCGTTGGGGCTAAGATTGACATTTGCCGTTAGCATCTTTTTACATTATATCACAAGTTGCAATTGGTGGTATTGCGCCCTCTGCTCTGAATATGAGCCCAATCAATGATATGATAAGATCTGGAAGAGTTCTCCACACCAACCAGTGTGACACTGCATATATTGTAAGGTATATTGTTTAGAATTGAGAGAGCTTGCTGCAATGAACGCCACACTTTATCTGTAAAGCAGATGTGGCTAGTGTGTGGTATTAAGGATATAAGCATACATAATTGGAGCAAGATTCATGATTAATGAGATAAATCCAGGACCAATATGAATGCAGTTATGGTTGTTTTCACAGAGCTCAGCTGTAATGTTCCACTGCTTAAATTATCTTCAGTTTTAACTAAACCTTCCTCCTGCCTGTCGTTAGTATGCGATTCTGTAGACATGTATTTTTGTGGTTCTGACAGAGAGCGTGCACTCAGTCTCAGTATTTCTAAAAGTCTATTTCAGCTTTGGACCAAAAAGTGCATTAGCACCATTAGCTGCCAGCATGCTATCAGAGCTGAGAACATTGGGGCTGCAGCGCCACATTGATGATGCTGCCGGACAAAATCAATAGTCTCTTTGTGGTCAGCAGCAGCAGCATGTAGAGCCCATGTGGAGACACAGAAACCTCCACTGCTTTGAGACGAGGGCACATTTTAAGATACAGTAAAGGAAGGAAAATACATTAAATTATTGACCAACTTTGATGAGACTAAAGAATACAATCAAAGTTAACCACCCTGTTATGAGTTGGTTTCAGACTCTAAATCAAAATCAGTTAAGTTTCTGTATAGATAGAGAGAGAGATTTTCTTTCTTGTATATATTTTGTGCTATTCAATTGATGTTTTCCCGTCATGGGTTTTGCCATTGTAATATCCAACAAAATTTGATAAATTTTGATTAGGAATTGGTTTTGAAAAAATGCTTTTACTGAATACCATGATTGGGAAGGTAAAGCTCACACTGGCTCACACTGCACACTTTTGACTCCTGGTACTGACTGATTTCCTTCTGGTCTGTGACTCATATTGCCATCACCAGTTTTTGTACTGAAATGATAAAAAGGGCTGCACAGTAGTGCATGTGGTAAAAAATGGAACCACAGCTCCACTGCCTCGTCCTCTGCATGGTTGCACTGCACAGACTGTGGTGTGAGACCCCTTTGTGCAGAAAGACTGAGATCTGAGTCAAAAAGCTCTTTTTTGTATACATGTATAGCTACTCCTATTCATGAAAGCCTGTTGTGATGTCATCTGTTGTCTCATTTGATCATTGCTTAAAATCCATGGATGGACTCACAGTTTAGTTCACAGCATAGAAATTAATAGCTTTAATAGATTTATTTGTATCGCACCTGTCAGACACAAATGCCGTTCAAAATGCTTCACAGCAGCAAAATACAAACACAACAAAACAATAGCTGACAACACAAGTCCTTAATAGTCGCACAACAGCAGAACAAATATTTAAAAATGAACCCAAAGAGTGGGTAATAAGTTAATTCAAAGCCAAAATATATGAAAATGTTTTTAGTTTTGTTTTAAAATTGTTAAGGGAGCCGGACCTTCTAATGTCGAAATTCAAAGAATATAGATTACATGTTGACTAACTGACCTCCACCTCCATATAGTTAAACGTATATGTCCACCTACCTTTCCAAGCGGCTGGATCCCGATAGTCCCGGGTTAACTCTCTATCCTTTCATGGTAGTATACTGATGGATAATGTGTACAGAATGGTACGGAGTCATGTTAGAGAAGGAGAGCATTCTGAGTGCAGCCTATACAGGAATAAATTCTTGTCCTTGTTTTTGTGCTTTCTACCAACTAAACCACATGAAAAATGCACCTGTTTATATTCTCTTTCGGACTAATTGTTTTTAGGGACAAAGATGTAGTGTGTTGACAGGAAAACTAGGCCTTCAAGTCTTGCAGACGGGTAATTAAAAGTTATTTAAGGGTTGACCAAAACACCCATCAGCAACTTTTGGCTGGATTTATAACTTGTAACCATTAAGTAATTTCACAGTGTTGTTTTCGTCTGCATTTCAGTGAAAAGTAGACAGCAGATTTCACTGCAAAGTAAATGTCACTTGCTTTATCCCACATACAAATTGCCTGAACTTTTTGCCTCTAAATTGCAGATTGGTGACAGATTTTCTCAGTTGAGCCCTATTAAGCAGAGACGTGCCTTGGACACTCTTATGTGTTTGACCAAAGCTGTTGTTTGGCGCTCTCAAATCCGCTACACACCCTTATTGTAACTCAGAGAATTTGGCAATGATATCAACAGTAACAGTAAATCATTGTTAGGAGTTTGATATATTGCTGGGGTGCAAAGATACACAGTGCTTTTTACATGCCTAATATGGAGCCCATTTGTCATTGCTGTAGAATAAATAATGCACATGGCACTGTTTTATCATATTACTTGTTAAATGAAGCCACATTATCTGTGTCCTTGAGCAAGGCACCATTCTTCAATACTGGATATATACTTAATACTGTATGGTGGGTAGAAAGCGCATAAAGACAGGCTCGCTTTGATCATTGTTCCCCAGGGCACCTGTTAGAAATCCAAAAATGTTTTTATATTCATGAACCCTTTTCCTTTGAAGAATAGGGGATATAATTACCATGTTGATATGTTTGGACTGATTAATGCAGGCCATCTTCAGGACTGTCCCCTGTCTTTACATCAGTGTCACAAATCAGCTGTTGGACCTGCCAAGTTTCTCACACAATCTCCTGGATCATGCTGGCATTTTATTGTATTTTTTTTCATCATTAATGTGACAAAAGAATCTTTCTCACATCACTCCTTAAGGTTTATTTATACTCGATTGTTAGAGCATGTACCCAGCCTATTCCCAGCATTAATGTTACCAACCTACCAACATTGGACTTGGACACAGCACCGGGCGAGCATTGTTTATCTTGACTCAAGACTGAAATGTGGGACTGGTTATTGTAAATATTGTCAAATCTTGCAGAGATGTGTGCCCATGCACAAATAGGACCTTAACCTCAGTTTCAGAATCACTGGTGTTAATCATGGTTTGTTTTTGTTTTTTGCAGCTGTAATATGTAATGCATAACCACACAAATATTGTTCATATGGGTCCTTTGTTTTCATTATTGAATGAGGAATATTGCTTGTGTCAGTGGTTATCGCATTACGTAGTTAAATGAAATAAGGGAAAAGACTTAGAAAAAGCATATGGCTTTCTCCCAATTGTACACACAGTTCCTCTGAGATGCTGGAAAACACATTTGATGTATCTGAAAGTTTCTTACTTTTAACATCTAAATGAGAAGTAATGCCGGGCTTGTTTATTTTTGATCTTACCAGTATCAATTATACAGTGGGTTGAACACTTTGACGATGACTCCCTTTCCAAAAGGACGAATGTTTTCATAGGTCTGTGTTAGAATGATGCCTCCAACCTAAATGAAACAAAATTTGTTTTTCTGGATATTTCCAGTAATTGAAATATTCTCATACATCAGAAATCGAGCTTTTAGATGTCACTGGGTTAATGGAAATCCAAGTTTATTTTTCCTGCTTTTTGATGCTCTGCTTTTTCCGACTGTCTCTAATGCAAGAAAGTAAATAAAGTTACAAATTGCTGTCTGCATATTAAGCATGTGTCTCATAATTGTTGGAGATCAAACAAACATTATTCCTGCATTACGAATATAATGGCCGTCCAAATATGAATCTTCTCCATCTTCTGGTAGTACAAGTGGTGGTGATTATCTTTGTGTGTGAGAGATTAGTGAACACTGCTGCATATCAACATGTTGTTTTCTTTCATCCAGTCTGATGCCCCACTGCGTCCTGCAGCCATTTGACACATTTGTGGTTTTGTTTTTCTTTCTAAACTCTCTGCAGGTGTCCACAAATGGAGAGATATCGGTCATCTCTGGAGCTCCCACTGACTGTGACTGCAAGATAGATCCCAACTGCGACTGCTTCTCTGGTGGGTCATTGAACACAATTAAATTCACACGCTTATGCTGGTTTTTGTATGTTTTAATTTGATTGATTCACCCGCTGAAAAATGGACCTACATTATTACAATTATATGTAAAACTTTCACTGAAAGCGATTTGTAAACGGGCGGGCACGAGGGCGGCTATGTGCACTGCGGGGTCCTTTAGAGACTTTTTGGAGAAGTCCAATAACTTTAGCAGCGTCTAAATCCGAGTGAGTTAGATACCAGGAAAGAGACGGGAGTGATGCACTGTACGGAGCAATGGACGCACGCGTTTTGCCGCTCACACTGAGACGAGAGCACAGAGACATCTGTGTGTGAGCGGAGAAGCAGACAGTTATGTGTGCTGCTATTTCCACTTGTCTATACAATCTTATATTTGTCGTTTCAACCACGTCACAAAACGTGTTTTTGTCAGGTTGTATGATTTCCGGACCCTATTTCATTGAACTGATCAAATTAGTGGACCGCCAATTCTATTTGCATTTTTTGGTTCACACAAAATACCATTGTTTTCAAATATTTCAGAAGTTTGGGAGAATTAATAAGATATTGATGGTTATTTCAAGTGTTATTTAATGATTTCCCTTCTTTTTCAATGTAAGAATGAATCAGAAGTCACCATTTCTTAGTGCATTGCATAAATGATGTCCATGCTGGAGGGAGGGCGCGTCGCGTGCATTGACTAACATTTGAGACTTTTTTGAAATGTCCCATTCTCATCCCTGTATAACTACCATAACTGTTCGGTTTTCAAACAAGGGTCCTCCATAATTCATATATGCATGTGTTATTGTGTATCTTTTTGGCAATGGTCATTAAAATGCTTCAAAATCCAGAGTCAATATAACATAAGAAAAAGTGGCTTGAATTGGACAGTTGTAGAATGCTCAAATAAGGAAGTTCTGTGACTGTCATTGTTTCTGGCTCAGAAACAGATTTGGCAGCTCTCTACGGGAATATTTGAATGACTACTAAGTGACCGTATTTTAAACATATCCAGAGCGACTGTTAGGGGAAAACAATATCAGCAATGCTAACATAACAGAGCTAATGAACATGAACGGACCAAGTGGAGGGGAGAAACAAACTACAGATGTACAAATAATTATGCAAATAATATGCAAGAGACGATAAGTTTAAACATGCATTAAATGATACATGAATAATAATAATAATAACATCCAAAATAATATAAAAAAATTAATTATCAAATACATTTTTAATATGACAATTCTGAGCATATAGTCACAGCCATTTAGTTATCACAAATGTAATTAGTGTTCTTGGTAATAAAGAGGGATAGTTATCTGCACTTGCTGAATTGTCAATATACATATATTTGTTGTGTCAGAAATAACTCTTAACATTTTACAATACACCCACGATAGCACTCATTGTTTTTCAAATTGATAAATGAGGCCTTACGTGTTGTGACTCATATGCGATTACTTCCCTTTAGATGAGTAAGTACAGTGCGTGAATATTTAGAAGTATCACCGACTTACATTTTTAGCCTGTCTTACTCACTCCTTGTTTTTATTGTTATGGGAGAGTGGGATTATGCAATGTGAGTGTAGTAGATCATGACTAATAGGATTACATTGGGAGCAACATGTAAACGCACTCATTTTAGAGAGCCGATTGTATCACTCTACTTGGCCTGGTTTTACAAGAACACTCAAAAGCACCTAAAAACCCTGTGACATTCTCTCAATGTAACTTCGAGTTACATTAAGAGAATGCTGAATGATTTTATTAGTCAATGGGAATGTTTAAAAGCAATAATAATGGCAAAAGCAGGTTGTATGCCAAGTTTTTACCCTAACCCATTGGAGAGCATACAGTCATTGAAAAGCCAAATGCCTAAATTGCAGCCTAAAACATGTAATATTGGGTTCACTGTCTATTCTTGTTGCAAACATTATACCAATTTGATAAGTTTTTTGTATATTTGATGTTCACTGCCATTATTATTATTTGTCTATAGCTTTTGAAATTGCAAGCTTTTGAAATTTAGCCAATGTACATGCCTTTGAAAAACAGTATTCCTGGAAAATAATGACTCAAGAGATATATTACGGCATGAAAAAGTTTAAATGGCCGCAGTGAAGGTCAGTACGAAAAGTATATTGCTTAAGGTCAGGCATACAGACGGCGAATATTGATATTTGTATTCACTGTGATCTTTCTTTCCTGCTAAAACCTCCAGCTATATTTCAGTAAAAAATGAAATAGAAAAAAACAGCTTTTCTGAACCCTTCTAAATCCATTGAAATTACAGCTGGCGGAAGAAAAAGCGGGCGCCAGTTTGAAGCACTTGGTGTGTCATTGGAGAGCACCTGAAATGTAATAAAAGATGGGAGAAAAAGGACCAAACAAAATACACAGCTGTTCCTTTGACAGTTTAGGCCATGCTTTCATTGTAAGTGTCAGAGGATGCGATTTTATCATTTAATTCTGCTCATAAAATCAAGTCTTTTTTTTCTATTTGCAACAGAGGGACTTGTCTGTGCCCTGCCACAAACCAATGGGCTGTAGCCGTCCCTATTTCTTGGTTGTACTTTGCATATTTTCAATCATGTCTTGCTGTTAACAGATGATTGCACTTCAGAAGCTTCTCCCATAAACACACACACTCTTTGAGCGCATATGCAGCTAGAGGGCGCCGTCCACAGTGCACACAAACATAGCTGCATGCTGATGTTGCATGTGTGGAGGAGATAAACTGCTGCCCCGCTGTCAGGCCAGAGCATCACAGGACCGGCCCGCCACTGACGGGATCTGAAGGCCCCCGCACACTCTAATCCCAAAAGAGAAACCACAGTGGCCCAAACAAATTCACTCACCTGCGACCGCTGTCTGATAAGGACCAGACTCTATCAAGGTGGCATGTCCACTCCAATGGGACAGTATGGGATCCCCTGGGTCCAGACCCACTCTGATAACTTTTAAATCCTCACTACAAGACCGTTTGCAAATTGCGTATTGTAGTGGCTGTGGGTTTCTCCACTCTAATATAGATTTTTATTGAATTTCGCCACCATTTACATTCAACCTAAATTAAATGTGGTAATAGTTGTTTTTTTTATCATTACCGCTAGCATTATTTTGTTTAAATCTATTCAGCAAAAGTGTGCTGAAGTGTAGCAAACATTCTTTTTGATAGCCCTTTAGTCCCCAGAGATTTTTCAGAAATTTGATGGAAAGAGACCAAAGGTGCAGCCCTGAAACGCTTTAAGAGATTGAGGAGTTCTGAAGTCAATAGCAGAAAAAAAATATGTGTGCGTAATATGTAAAAATGGGAAGTTTGTGGGAATATTTAATAATTATCTATTTTCTTCCATCCTCTCTCATATCCTACAGGAGATGGAGGCTACGCCCGTGATGCCCGCCTCAAAGCTCCTTCCTCTCTGGCCGTGGCCCCCAATGGGACCCTGTACATCGCTGATCTGGGGAATATCCGGATCCGAGCAGTGAGCCTCAACCAGCCGCAGCTCAGCACCGCTGGCCTGGTTGAGATCAGCTCCCCTCTGGACCAAGAGCTCTATCTTTTCAGTCAGGTACTGCAACACAGACACGGGCCACTGAACCAGCTGTCCCCTGTGTCCAAGAGGAGCACTGGATTATGTTGAGAGGGGAGGGACGAGTATGACATCAGCATCAATGGGGATTTGGATTTGAGGTTTTTGTATCGACCCAGTAATCATTGTTTGTGTGGTAATTAGTAAACAAACCAGGCCATCACTGTAAGATTAAATAATTTTTGTTAAATACGTCCAAATTTAGTTTTCACTACAGGAGTAAGATGACAAATTATTTCACTCATAGCACATTTGTAATCAGTGCTGTTGACACATGGAAGCAAGAGGGAATGGACAAAAGTAGAAATGTTGTGACTATGCTCACAAAGGGCTGCAAAAGACCTGAACAAAGAATACTTTTTTAGCTTAAGCTTTTCTCAGAGAATTTAAATCCTATACTATAAAATTATAGATATGAGAAAAAGAAAAAGAAAGCCGCAGCGGACCACACAGCTTAGTATTAAAAGCAAATACTCCACAAAAGGTGCAGTTTGAATATGTGACATAAACAAATATAAAGAATACTGCACGCATTTACAATAAAAAACATAAAAAACACATGCTAATTAAGCTAATTTCTGCAAACTTATTTTTGTTTGTTTCATTAATACATGTTTATCCCAACAGAAAGAATAGTCCCATTATGTGAGCAAATGAGACCACAATATGATGGTGTTTATCTTTATTCAAAACATTATATCTGTTGTATGGTGAGAGCTAAGTGAGGCCAAAAAAGCTTGCATGTGAAAACCAAACCGTTAGAGAGCGTGGAACTTGTTTCAAAGTTTGGTACTATGTACATGACATATTTCTCTTCTCAGAACGGCTCCCATTTGCACACCAAGCACCTGATCACGGGCCACTTCCTGTACAACTTCACATACGGTACAGATGGGCAGCTGTCGGGGGCCGTGTCCCGGGACGGGCAGGGGCTGCAGGTGCGGCGCGATGCCCACAGTGTACCCTTGTGGCTGGCTCTACCTGGAGGACAGGTGTACTGGCTCTCCCTCAGTAACAGCGGCACTCTGAGAAAGGTGTCTGCTCAAGGCCACGACATCGCCCACATATCCTACCATGGCAACACTGGTCTCCTGGCAACCAAGAGTGATGAAAACAGCTGGACCACAGTTTATGAGTGAGTGTCTTGTTAAAAGTCCTCCTAGACTGAAACTAATGCACTGTATGTCTGGAGGTGCTAAAAAAATACTGTAAGTGATGTTTTCTGTGGCCAGTTCATGTAATAAAAATATGAGTTCAAGGATTTCAAAAATGCAATTGAATGAGTAAGATCTGAGAAGATGCATGGTTGTATTTGTTTGATTTAATTGTTAGACTAAAACACAAATAGTTTCCTTTTTTTCTCATGGCTTTTTAAAAATATATATTATTAGATTCAGATTCATTTTATTTGCATTTTGCAGTAAAAACACATAGAAATACATTTGGAAAAAGTCCCCAGTGTCCACAAGACAAGTACATATAAAACAAGGTTAAAAGTAAATAAAAAATTAATTCAAAAAACGAAGTGCAGGAAACAATTGACTCTGTGAAATAACAAAACTAGTTTCAATACTAGTGCCAGATCATTAAAGTGCTCTGTTTAAAATGATAACAGCTTGGTAGCTTCTTTCCACAAGCTTTTCCACACGCTCTCTCCATAAACTGCTATCAAACGGGAATTATGTAAAGTTTTCTGTTGGAAAAAAGTATTTGTTTTTACCCTTTTGATCATGGGCTGGAGCAATTACTTTCCATCACAGTGGTCCCTATGATGCGATAGGATCAATTGTTTGAAAGGTTTTCTCCTCTGATGAAGAAAACCGACAAAACAATTTGTCCTGAAAGACTATAGACACAACTGTGACCGAAAGTAAATGTGCAATAACGCCCACTCTTACTGTCATTTATTCAAAAATATAAACTTTTTTATTTTCTCATAAAAAAGTTGCATAAGGCACCTCGCTAATTATTCTCACCTTAAAGACAACCTCCCACAGCCATATGGCTACATTCCTTTGGCAGCCCTCACTTTAGACTTTCTTAGAGTTTCAGTATATCTAGCTGGTGTGTGAAGTATTTGTTTATTGTTTAACCTTTAGCTTGTGCAGTATATAGTGGGTCAACAAGAGAAAAAAGATACAGCGCATGGTTTTGTTTAAACTTCTTCCGATTTATGAGAACATCACAACAGCTTATAAGACAGCTATACCAGTGTTTCCATATAAGAGACAAGTACCACGCAGCACAAGACCTAGAGTTCACTAGGGCCAACACTAAAGAGTTTTTAGAGTCGACAAATTAATTTAAAATATAAACTTCTCATGACAGCCAGAAAGCAGAGTCTGGCTAAACAGCAGACTGGCACGACTGGACCTGGGCTTTGCAACATCCTGAAAGCATTATTATACGCAACTTTAAGCGTCTGCAGTGTGGCACTTTGATTGTGTAAATCAGCTAAATTAGCGTATGGAATAGCACTTTGAACATAGCACTTTGAACAATCACAGATTCTGCTTGGCATCTGCACTGCACTGGAAGCGAAATATTGATTTGGTAAAACACTTATTTCTTTATCTCTCAATCATTCTTTTTGAAAAAAAGGACATCTATTATTTGATTGATCAGAGGGTCAATAGAACACTCCATTAGTAAAATAATTGATTGCTAACAATTTTACAACCCATAATTCTAACATTATTATGTCTAAATACTTACATGGTCCAAAAGTCTTGCAAGCTCTTCCTCCATCCAGATGATTTCCCCAGCAGCTGAATTGTATGTAATACATCATAGTTAAAGAAACAAGACAAAGAAAGACTACAATTGTAAAATTTTGGATGCCATGGTTATCCTTCTGTTCTGAGGGCTAATTTGTAATCTTAAAATGTAATATCGACAGTAAGTTGATTCACTGTCAAGTCTTGTGTATTGTAAGTGTGCCATGATGTTGGAGATGATGATATGAAGTTTGAGTGCCATCTGCTGGTAGCTGTAGTCCCTACTATTTTCTTCACTTTTGAAAGAGTGAAGGGGGGAAATAGACTGGCACTGCTTAAATGTGTGATTAGATAAAGGACATATAGAGCCTCTCGTCACCAGTAGCATGTTTAGCTTGGCACACAAAGTCCACTTAACCACATGTGAATGCATTATTCACCAGTGCCAGCCCGTGCCGCTGTCTCTGACTCCACCGCTGGATAATTACACTTATAAATCATGGCTGACACTTACTCGAGGCTGCTCTTGGGCAATGAAAAGAAGAGAAAAAACATATAGTGTGTATGGGACATTCTACTATTGTGTCCAGTAGCCCCATAGCAGGACTTATCACATTGTGTTTCTGCATGTACATCACTCACAGGGTGAACGCTTGAGTCCATTTTTAGAAGGACAATGCAAAACAACCCATAGTCTGCAGTAGTGATGTTTATCGAAAGAACAGTAGGTGGAGATTGTGTCCACGTCCAGAAATATTATTAGGTTGCATTCATAAACATGTTTGTTGCTATTAAGATATGTTATTGAAACATTGAAACATGGACAAACAATAAAAACAGATTGTGGTCCAGGTAATTCTCAAGACATACATTGACTTACATAAAATTTTGCAAATGCAGCTTGTTATACCACTAAAAGTGTGTGTAGTGTATTTTATATTTTAAGAACAGGATTGCCAATACTGAACATACAGGTTTGATCTATAGCTTAAGGATTAGTGCAATAAGTTTAAGGTGAATAGATAATATTGAATAGAGACTAGAAGACTGGTGTTTGGTTGGACAATCTAGAGCCATATGGAAAGTACGTGGACACCTCAATAATTGTTCCTTCTGGAAGCATAAACTGTAGCCCTGGATAAGTGAGATCATCATTTAGGCAACTATCAATTTTATATTCCTTATCTTATATGAGGGACTGCAGTTAAATCTCGCTGGAGCTGTATTGCACATGAATGAGTCTCATATAATAAATATAGTCAAAGTAATATTGTGGGTATTGCATGATTTCAGATACAACTCCGAGGGCCGTGTGACCAACATCACCAAGCCAACGGGAGAGGTCAGCGGTTTCCACGGTAACTTGGAACGTTGGTCTCGAGTCGAGGTCGAGGCGTCAAACCGTGAAAACTTTGTCACCAGCACGAACCTATCGGCCAGTGACACTGTCTACACCTTCAGACAAGGTACTGGCTGTGCTCCAGAGAGGAAGGAGAGAGAAGTCTGTGCTGATGAATACCAAACGTCTAATATATCACAATGCATTTCAATTAATTACAAAAATAAGACTAGAACATTTTGAATTTCAGATGAATATCACAGTTTCACTTATTAGCCTGTGTGCTTAAATTTAGCACGTTATGTATGGCATGTGGTTAGCACTCTTCTCTGTAATAAAGTGCCAGATTCGAAACCCTTGCATGTTCTCCCCATACATACATTTTCTCCGCGTGCTCTGGTCTCCCTTGCCACCACAAACATTGAAAATAGTTAACCTTTTTGCAGGATGCGTGAAATCCATGGACAAATTTCCCAACGGCGACAATAGAAAATAGCTTAAAGGTATATAGCACGAGTTTCCCATTTTTTAGGAAATAACGACCTTCACTTTTTGAACAAAACTCTCCGGTCTTATTTGACGAGCACGTATCATCGGAATTTTTGACAATTAGGAGGACCAATAGTCTTGATGATCCACCCGGAAGTAGAAAATCCTCCTATATACCTTTAACTTACCTTACATATCAACTCCTTACAGAAACCTTAATGTAGTCCACCGTAAAATGCAATGTGAAAAATCTTCACATGCTCATATCTTCTCCTGAGTGTTTCACATATATTTTTCATCAGTAACCTTCACTCATCTTCATATTGTTCATTGCAATGGGTTTGTACATCTCAGGCTGAAGATATGCACATCCTTGAATAAACCAAAAATGTTTTTATTTCTAACTTAACTTTTCTGTAAATAGTAAACCTTGAACAAAACATTCAGATATGTTTCATTTATTACTTTATACTTGCGCATTTATAGTTGTATAGTAAGATCTATATTGATGCGGGTAAAGTTTGTTTTTAGACTTTACTAGGGCCACAGATGCCCTGAGGTTTCCAATCCTCAATAGTTACTGCGTACTGCTACATACAACACGTGTATATAACTGTATTTCCTCATGCCCCAGCGGTGCCACAAGGCCGTGTATGATGCATCGGGGAGAGTCCAGATGCAAATAATGGCTGCAGATGTCTAAAGAGACGACAGTACGGTTATGGTCGTGGTTAAACATTTATGACTGTCAAACTGCAGTAATATTCTGCTCAGGTTATGCACACAGACCTCTCTCACTAGAATTACTTTGTATCAGATGGTGAGATTTCACCCTAGGCCACATCACTTCAACAAGGTTTAGCCATGGTCAGTTTTATGCAATTGAAAGTTGAGCAATAAGTAGTTCACCTTGGAGAGACCCATGAGGAAAATGCGTTAGACTTATTAGATTTAAGCATGTTTATTGATTGAGCATGTTTGGCGCCCTAGGCCCGGGAGGGATGCTGTTGAGCACTGCGCTTGCTCGCGTACATATCCCCCCGGGGCCTAGGCACTGGTGACGGCAGAGGCAGTAGGCAAGCACGCTTCATGAGAGAAGGAGGAGGTGGGGCGGCGGAGGCTTGCAAACTTCAGAAGACCGGGAAGTGGGCGTCTCCGGCTTTTAACTTGCTGTCCTGGTGGTTATTGGTTGACTGGATGTGGGCGTTGCTGGTATTGATGAGTCGAGGAAGAGCAGCCTGTGGCCTGGGCAGCAGCAGCCGGGTCTACCACGGTGAACTTTCGCGAAGCTCCATTTCACCTTGGAGAGACCCATGAGGAAAATGCGTTAGACTTATTAGATTTAAGCATGTTTATTGATTGAGCATGTTTGGCGCCCTAGGCCCGGGAGGGATGCTGTTGAGCACTGCGCTTGCTCGCGTACATATCCCCAAAAAGCGGGCCTGGGATTGGGATAACAGGACGTACTGCGCGGGCCTGAGAGCATGAGTGAGAGGCTTCTCGCGCGGTCGCTCAGCCAGGCTGCGTTGGCTGGGGCCCGTGTTTGTTTGGGCCGAGCGAGCTGAGAATAAGAGCGTGCACATATTCAGCCACGCGTGTTCAGCGCACGCGCATGTTCAGCCAGACGCTGCAGCAGGGTAATCTTTGAGCGAGCTGAGAACATGCGCATGTTCAGCCAGACGCTGCAGCAAGGGAATCTTTGAGCGAGCTGAGAATATGAGAAGCAACTCATATTCAGTCAGGCGCTGAGCAGGGTAATCTTTGAGCGAGCTGAGAACATGCGCATGTTCAGCCAGACGCTGCAGCAAGAGAATCTTTGAGCGAGCTGAGAATATGAGAAGCAACTCATATTCAGCCAGACGCTGAGCAGGGTAATCTTTGAGCGAGCTGAGAACATGCGCATGTTCAGCCAGACGCTGCAGCAAGAGAATCTTTGAGCGAGCTGAGAATATGAGAAGCAACTCATATTCAGCCAGACGCTGAGCAGGGTAATCTTTGAGCGAGCTGAGAACATGCGCGCACGCGCATGTTCAGCCAGACGCTGAGCAGGGTAATCTTTGAGCGAGCTGAGAACATGCGCGCACGCGCATGTTCAGCCAGTCGCTGAGCAGGGGAATCTTTGAGCGAGCTGAGAACGCGCGTGTTCAGCCAGACGCTGCAGCAAGGGAATCTTTGAGCGAGATGAGAATATGAGAAGCAACTCATATTCAGCCAGACGCTGAGCAGGGTAATCTTTGAGCGAGCTGAGAACATGCGCGCACGCGCATGTTCAGCCAGACGCTGAGCAGGGGAATCTTTGAGCGAGCTGAGAACGCGCGTGTTCAGCCAGACGCTGCAGAAAGGGAATCTTTGAGCGAGCTGAGAATATGAGAAGCAACTCATATTCAGCCAGACGCTGAGCAGGGTAATTTTTGAGCGAGCTGAGAACATGCGCGCACGCGCATGTTCAGCCAGACGCTGAGCAGGGTAATCTTTGAGCGAGCTGAGAACATGCGCATGTTCAGCCAGACGCTGCAGCAAGGGAATCTTTGAGCGAGCTGAGAATATGAGAAGCAACTCATATTCAGCCAGACGCTGAGCAGGGTAATTTTTGAGCGAGCTGAGAACATGCGCGCACGCGCATGTTCAGCCAAACGCTGAGCAGGGGAATCTTTGAGCGAGCTGAGAACGCGCGTGTTCAGCCAGACGCTGCAGCAAGGGAATCTTTGAGCGAGCTGAGAATATGAGAAGCAACTCATATTCAGTCAGGCGCTGAGCAGGGTAATCTTTGAGCGAGCTGAGAACATGCGCATGTTCAGCCAGACGCTGCAGCAAGGGAATCTTTGAGCGAGCTGAGAATATGAGAAGCAACTCATATTCAGCCAGACGCTGAGCAGGGTAATCTTTGAGCGAGCTGAGAACATGCGCGCACGCGCATGTTCAGCCAGACGCTGAGCAGGGTAATCTTTGAGCGAGCTGAGAACATGCGCGCACGCGCATGTTCAGCCAGACGCTGAGCAGGGGAATCTTTGAGCGAGCTGAGAACGCGCGTGTTCAGCCAGACGCTGCAGCAAGGGAATCTTTGAGCAAGCTGAGAATATGAGAAGCAACTCATATTCAGCCAGACGCTGAGCAGGGTAATCTTTGAGCGAGCTGAGAACATGCGCGCACGCGCATGTTCAGCCAGACGCTGCAGCAGGGGAATCTTTTGAGTGTAAGAGGAAAGTGCGTGCCGCCACCAGAATCTTATTGCTTACTTGCTTTGCTGGGAGCTTACGAGGAAGCCAGTTGACGTTGTGCTGCCAGGATAGCGGTCGCATCTGGCCTGATGTAAGCGGAGAAGGCCGAAGAGGACCAGCGCCCCAGCTGTTGCAGCGAGAGTGGGGGAGCCCCAGCGAGGCCGCGCGCGTTGCAGCGCCTATCCTGAATGAGTGGGCCGTATAGAGCTGGGGAGACAAATTACAGAGGAGCAGTAGGGATCTCAGCTGAGCTCTGAACCAGTTTGCTGTCATGGGAAGGTGGTCTGGAGTGAGAAATCGAGGTCCGTTAGAATCTCCTTCTTGCAGTGGAGGCGAGTGTAACGCATCATGGACTTGTAGGGGCAGAGAGATGTGTCGGAGCGAGCTATTATATATTGCAGGCACCTTTGATTTTTGAATGTTTGAGATGAAGGTTGAAGTGGTCAGGGAACATTATGTTGGGTGAAAAAGAGCGACCTTTGTGTAATGCTTCCACTACGTCGAGATTATCACACGTGACAGAGATCCTCTTTCTCTGCCACGTGTGATTCCACGGCGCGCAGGCCACGACCACTGGGAATATCTCGTGTAGGGCAGAGGAGATGCTCCGGTGGAAAGTAGCGGCCACGCTCGGCAAACCAGTGGTCCTGGAAGAATCCCCCAAAAACCCACGGAAGGGGCAGCGTCCGTGTAGAAGCGGAGACCTGTAGGGCAGAGACATGTCGGAGAGGGCCATTGATGTTGCAGGCGCCCTTACGCTTGAAACCTTGGGTTGGAGAGTAGAAATCAGGATAGTAGGATGGTCGGGAAAGCCGTGTCTCGGACCGCATGAAGGTTGAGTGAGCAATGGTGAAACGCTTACGCAGAGAAGCCATAGAAGGAGAGCAGGAAGATGCTGCGAGGAGGGCGGACATGTACTTGGGAGATGAGCCGGAGTTCAGCGCCGCTGCAGGATGGGCAGCATGATGAGGAGCCTGCGATCAGAAGAGTGAAGAATACAGGTATGGATGCCTTTGATTAGGAGTCCGATTGACGGCTCAGCGCAGCTACTCGGCCAGCTGCATCTGATAGAATCAGAAGATTCAGTAGAGAGATGAAGCACGACCGCCGAAGCGACCCTGGGAGCATAGGTGCGAGTCCGGCGCAGCGCGGCATACTCAGCCGGGCTGCATCCATTAGAAGCAGGATAAGCTTCTGAGAGAGTGGGTTGCAGTAGCAGTAGCAGCAGCGGCAGCAGCAGCAACCTCAGATAATAACAGCAATAGTCCTGTATCAAGCCGCGGCAGCCGCAGTAGCAGCAGCAGCAGCAGCAGCATCCTTAGAAAATAACAGTAATAATTCTGTATCAAAGCCACAGCAGTAGAATGTTGTTGTAGCTGTTCAGGGTTTCAGTAAAAGAGATGCAAGTGAAGAGAGATGG